ACCAAATGCGCTGCCACCACCATTAGTCCCCTAGGGGAGCAACTGTAACGGGAGCAACTTTTGCGCCCCGTCAGTTAGTCCCTCGCACTAGCACCGTTGGGACTAACTGTTACACCCTTTCAGTTACACCTCGAGGACTAGCTGTTAGGCCCTTACACTTGGTCCTTTGGGACCAACTGTTACTCCGTTTCAATTGAACCTCGAAGACGAACTGTTAGACCCTTGCGCTTGGACCCCTGGGACTAACTGTTACACCGTTTCAAATGAACCCCGAGGACTAACTGTTAGGCCCTTGCACTTGGACCCCTGGGTCTAAACGTTGCGCCCTTGGATTAAGGCTTCTGGGAATAAAAGTTTATCCTTTACATTTGGTCCCGAGCCACAAATCTCCGAAACGAAATTGTGGAGTTCAGGTTAAACGTAGCTTTATTGCCTCGTAGATACACATCGCATTCAAGGATGACTGAAGTCGAAGTTCCTGGGCGGTAGAATCCACGATAAGGCCAAATTCCGAAGAGTGCACTTGCGTCGACGATGGCTTGAACACTAGGACGTCTGTCCAAGCCGGTCGTGGTCCCAGCACCGTTTATTGGGGCACCGGCAGCTTCTTGCCTGTTTGCGAGGAATTTGGATTATTAGTAACAGGGCAGCGTAAATACCCAATCGCTTGATAAATATATGAGGTATAAGTTATAACACACACATAATAAATTAACAGATAGGCTGCATAAGTGATACAATGGTTCACATCCAACATGCGATCTCTTGACAGCAGACCAGCGCAATATTAGATTTTAGTAGACCGTTCGCTGCGAATTACAGACCCAGCGCGTGCGCGCTCAAACTATGCTTCAAAGTGACGGCACGATCTCCCGCCATCAACGCGAAAGTCTAGTGTACAATCGAATAAATGTCTCCATTAATGCCGGTTCGCACACGCAGCGAAGCGCTGGTGTAGCGCTGCTCACGTGTCATGAGCTACTTTTCGTCTGCCATGAGCAAGAGTTTTGTCGGTGCGATACAATGCTGGTGACCGATCCCGTCAGCACGCGCTTAGCGCAAGGTCAGCGCTATGCCTGTAGCGCTCCGCTGCATGTGTGGACAGGCGTTTATGGTCAAGCGATCCTGCCAGGGTCTGCGAAACACACACACACAAAAAAAAAAAATAAGCCATAGGTAGAACTGGCGTTTCGCTCGATACGATTGAATATGAGGTCTCGGTGCTGCATAACAAAATCAGCAACCATGGTGCCAAAAAAAAATGGAGCATGGCGCACGCTTTGCAAGCTAGAGAACGCGCTCAAAATAAAACACTTTCTGAAGCCGGAGTTAATAAATACACCATAAACAGAAGCACTTCGACATACCTTAATCGAGTTCCCTTGACTTGTGACTTCAGAACAGATCAAGTGCAGTGCTTCAGTACCGCGAATCCAAACCGGATCCCGCCATGATCGGAGACGACACACGGCGACCAGCCTCCGACGAAGGCTGTATTTAGACTTTCAACTTACTAAAAACAGGTTCTTTTCAAACAAAGGCACTTCCCATTTTCCCGACGGACCCCAAGGAGCAAAGGATGCGGGGTAGGGGATTGGGGGGAGGGGGCAGTGCGCGCAGAAGATAATCTCTTTTCCCGCTCCCACTACACACGACACAAGGACACCGAAGAGCTCCAAGGACCGGGAGAAGGTCACCACTTTCAAAACGCCGGTCGAGTGACGTACAAGCAAACACTTTTTTTTTTCTTTTTTTTCTCTCTCTCTCTCTCTCTTAGGCATTTTCAGCTTTCTCGAGTGGCTCTTTTTTTTTAGTTTGCATTTGTTTTGTATTAGTAGGGTGCTGCCAGGTGTGACGTTCCGGGCGTGGTTCGTTCTTTGTTGTTCATCTGGATTGTTTTGGAAACAGCGACGACGATGGCATGAAGGCGTCTGGATACTGCCCCTGAATGTGCTCTTTAAGTGGAACGTGCCGTACATCAAGTGTGTCGTTGCGGATTTTAAGTTCGACATTGGACAACCCAGAAAGGTTTGTCACGCAGAGACGGAGGCGCGTTCCCACCTGCGATGCGATCTAGTCGCGCGATGACTTTCATCGCAAAAGAGACCATCGCGTGCAAAAAGCGACGCGATTTGAGCAGTCGCTTCTCGACCCGACTTTTTTGCGATGCGATCTAGTCGCGGAGCGGCTGAGCCAATCATCGGCGTTCGGAGCGAGAGTTTTCGAGAAACGACTCGCCAACGAAGGCGTTGGACTTGCTTATCGCACACGCCGGTGTGATCATCTAATTTTTTTTGCGATGCGATCTAGTCGCATCGCGCGACTGTTTATATCGCCGGTGGGAATGCTCAGTTTTAGCGATGGAAGTGACCATTTATTCTGACTGCGAGACTCCGGTGTTAAAAGCGTGGCTTCTACAAACTGTTAAGTTTCATTTTAAAAAGAAAAAAAAAGTGTTAGTATCTGGAGGTGTTGCGTTTGGATAAATGCACATTTTTTGCGCGAAGGCAAATTACGTAAATGGGACTTGTGGAATGTCAACAGATCATTTTTGACGAGATAGTTGGGTGAAGTCGAGTCAACACATTCGTTCACTCGCATTCACACAACGCGTGAAGCTCTACCATGCAATGTCTTAACGTTCGTGGCACATTAAACAAATTCGCCAGTTTCGTCCGAGTTTTGTCAACACTTTCAGCCGTGCTGGGCTGAGTCTCGCCGATCCCCAAGACAAGCGAAATAGCATCCGTCCTCCTGGCGAACATTCCGTTTGCCTTCGGGGACTAAATCATTCAGATGCACCCTATATGAGGGGGACTAATGGATGGTTTTGCTCGCGCACGCCTATCGGTTGGTCCCAGTCGAGCGCAGTTAGTCCTCAGCTTTTGCGCACGGTACCTAGCTTGAGCCAGATGGTCCTTTCGGGGAGCAACTGGGAGTTCAGAGGACCGAATGCTGCCGTTAGTCCCATGAGGTCAACTTTTTTCTTAGAGTGTGGTATGCATGGGCAAAGGCGTGGCTAAGTATCGAGTATAGTTACCGGAGACATCAGAACGAAATACTCAAACTACCATAGTCGGCCCCTCAATGAGTACAGCTGTCTTTAGGCAAAACATTTATCTAGGCACTTTAATTTAACCAATAGGCAGCGCCTTTTGCGAAACGGTATTTTAAGACCAAACATCGAGACTGGAAAAAAACAAAACGAAGCACGACACAACAAAGTCCTTCGATTTTTCCCGAGTCTCAGAGTTTTGTCATAAAATATGTTCAACCGTCACCAGCTAGTTTGAGCTCCCCCTTTTTGCTAATTGAATCAGTTGCTTTTCAAGTGTTATTGTATTGATCAGATATGTCAATCGCCAAGCGTCGCTACACTCTAAAACCGGTCTCTCATAAAAAACACTGTCCCTCTGATTTTAGAGGGGACAACGATACTTTCAGGGGGAAAGTTCTTTTTAAGAGGGAAATGGAAAAATAAATCAGCAACATCCAGAGGGACACCAACATATTAAGAGAGACCAAGGAATCCGTTTCCTTTGTCCCTCTGAGTAGGGCAGACCGACAGAAAAATGCATGCTTCTCTTTTTATATTAAGATGGGACTGGTCCCTCTTAACTGGACCAATGTAGTTCGGTCAAGAGGAAAGCTGCCGGCGCACTAATCCACGACAAAGAGTTCAGACGGTGCTAAGGTTTGGCGCCAATTCACGGAGCTGGAAGCGGTCGTGGCCGGAGAATCGCAAGCGTCATGATGGTCGTTTAACTTCCTTCGGGTGAGTAATCCTGTTACATTGGCGCTTTGTTTTGAGTACATTGTGGGTGGGAATAACGAGCCATCAATATTTTCACTCTGGCTGTGAAATGCACGAGCTTTGCCCGTAGAGTGGGAGTTTTCAGCTTGGCTGCAGCAGTCCGCGGTCGCCTCCTGCATGGATCTCCTCGTTCAGCTGGGAAGCGTCGCCCGTCGTTGGCCCTGCCGTGAGCCGCATGGCTGTCTTTCGTACAAAACACTTATAACGGTATTGTTCGGGCTAGGGTGTCCCAATGTGTATGCTTCTGCCTTAGGCTGGCGATATCAGACCATTTTGTGTCCCACGCTTTTGTCTACTTTTTAATTTCGAACGCGCGTTCGATCTTCTCCCAGCTCGAGCTGCAAGTTTTGAGACTGCAACCCCGCCATTTTATAACCGGCAATTTCTTTGCTCTATATTCGTGAGTGTGCACTGTCGGCATCGGGTACTACAAAAGATGGTATCAACCTTCCGAAGGCAAAGGGGAGATAAAGTTGCCCGCTCGTCGTATACAGTCAGTGTTCGTAACCGTATATGGTAGACATCCTTAGCGTTGAAGAGGGTATCAACTTTTGCTTCAAGTGGGAGGCGAGCAAAAAGCCATAATGTGTGTGCGTGTGCGTGTGTGTCCGTGTGCGTGCGTGTGCGTGTGTGTGTGAGGGGGGAGGATGGAAACATCGAATTCAAATGAAAACAAAAAGTTCTTTCGCGTGTTCGCTTTGCGTTGCCATGAGCGTCTAGTCCAGAACGACGCGACCGTCTGCGGAAGGAGGGGAAGGGACAGCGGTGGCCCGAGAGCGCATGTTTCTTGTTTTTTTTTTTGTTTTCTTTTTTCCCTGGAGTGTTTTTTTTTTTTTTTTTCGTTCTATTTTGACGGTCGCGGCCGCAAAGCTACCGGTCTCTTTTTTTTTTTTTTTCGGCGCCGACCATGCTTTGCTTTTTGGAGATTTTATGCATGTTGTTTGTTTCCGGCTTTGTTTTCTGTTGTTGGTTGAATTTATTTTTTCTGTGTCGCAAACGTGCGAAAAATATAGACGAAAAATTGCTTTTTTCTTTCTTTTTTTTTATATTCCCGAGCGCTTTAGGGCTAGGTTGACAACGGCCGTTAAGTGACTGTTACAAATCTTGTTTTCAAAGTGGGGCAATGACTACGAACGTTGACATGAGGGGAATAAGTCGGGGGTTCTGCTCGGAATGCTCGTGTAAAGAGGACCCTGTGCACTGTGGAACGCACCACCCGGAGTGGTGTGCTTGCTGCGGCTACCCGCTCACAGCGAACTCGGTGAGTATGAACTTTCTATATTCTGGTATGTACGTAGGCTCCATTCACGTTCTGTTAGCATAAGCGTTGTTTTTGAAAAAAAAAAAAAAAAACAGAATAAACGCATGTTGCTTTCTAGAAAACAAAAAAAATGCATCAGATCTTTTCTGCAGCTTCAAGCCGCAAATAAAATCCATGTTTTCCAAGGCAGAATTTTGAGCAAACCTCGTTCATCCGCAAACTTCGAACTTTATGGCACCAACAACGTATGTTTGTTTTATATAATATATTTCTTTTAATTAAAGTTTTACAAAATTACACTAAGCCCTGGTCAAGATCAAACCATGTAAAATTGTTTTTCGTGCAAGTCAGTACTCGCACAAAAAACAATTTTACGAGGTTTGATCTTGACCTGGGCTTAATGTAATTTTTTAGAACTTTAATTTAGAAAATTTATTATATGAAAACGAACATACGTTTTTGGTGCCATAAAGTTCAGTCAAATCATACATCCTTGCTTTATTACCTACAATATTTAATAGTTATACTTTTTTAGATGATCTATTCAGTCACTACAGATTGGGTTTCAAATCTCTTAATGTTTCGCATTTTATTTTCGCACTTGTTTCCTACCGCCTCCTTAAAAAAAGGTGAAAGCGCTTCATTACCTTCATTGTAATTCCCTCTCTTTGTGTCTAAAAAAAAAACGCTGCCATTTCTCGATCAGCTCAAGGTGGAAGCAGGGCTTCGGTTCCAAGGCACAATGGTCACCATGCTGGGAAAACTGGAGGAGGTGAAGAGGGCCTTCTGCGGAGACGACCCAACAACATTTTTGAACATTGAAGACCACCCCCGTCCTCGATTGGCCAGAAGTTCTCTCATCACCACGGTACGTGAAAAAGCGGATGCAAAAATAGAAATGTAATTTCGACGCTGCCACAATTTTTGAACAATTGCTGCTTGCAGGACAAGCGTACCCCAGACGAAAGAGTTCCAGGACCCAAGATTTTCTTCGGTTCGGAAAAACAGATCGTTCCTGAGAATCAATCAGTGAAACTCTCTTCTAGCACGACTCTGGAGGGCATCACAGAGACGTGCTATAAGCATTAGTGTGGATGTCCACAAAATGTTTAGGCGATGAATACACAGGGTGTCCTCGAGCAATATTGAGGCTTAAAAAATCTGTATAAATAAGCCAATAAATTTAACGATATTAAACTTTTCACAAAGGTACTTTAGGCAGTGCATTTATCACACTATTTTTAAATGTAGATTTGTAGATTGTCAAAATGAAAAGCCTAATTTCTATTGCACAACTGCAAAAAACGAAAGACAGATCACTGGCCTGATGTTACACTTACAAATAATACCACATAAAACAAAAAATTGATTTTTTTTTTTAATGAACAGCCAAAAACAGATTTGAGCACGTGTGGTACCATTTGTGAGTAGCAACGTCGACCAGGCGACTTCTTTCCTATTTTCTCACGATGCTTATAAATAAACAAGATTCTTGAGTTTTTTTTAGAACGTACAGTCATGTGCTTATGCGTGTATTACATAAGGTGACTGTCCTACCCTGAGGCATATGGACAAACCCTTGGGCTCCTCGAGAGTCTGCTCGTTGAAAATGACGAGTTTCCGATTCAATTCATGTCGAAGAAGCTCAGAAAATTGCTTATGGCCGTTCAAAAACAACAGAAATTCTGAGCTTCTGCTAATTGCGAGAAACGCCGCGTAATTTATTTTAATGATATAAAGCATGTAACTACACTCTACAAAAAACCACGAATCTACTTCTTCCAACAACATTTAGATAGCCAATAACCGTAACTCAAGGAGGCAGCTCAGCGAATCACGTTGCCGAAACATATGATTAGACCAAGAAACGCAGTCTGAGTTGTGACATTAAGCAATAGAAAAAGTCACGCTTGCATTGCTTAGTATCACAACTCAGACTACATTTTTGTTTTGTTGTATAATCATACGTTTCGGCATTGACATTCACTGCGCTGCCTCCGTGCGTTATGGTGATTGGTTTTCCAAGTGATGTACGGGAAAGTAGACGCACGGGCTTTTTTTTTAGAGTGAAGTGTTATTTTTTGCGATATCCGCTGTAAAAAGGCAATTTCAGTACGGTCGCATTGTTATTGCTTATGATAGCCAAAAAGAGTCACTTTGCAGCAGGAAATTTTTTGTGTGATAATTCCTAAGAAACGCCGATTTCTGACTTCGTTCTAACGTCTTTTTTATCTGTATAAGCTACGAGAAAAACTTTATAAAATTACTATTTTTATATCTATTGTATTGTGTCATGACAAATAAAACATGTGTTTACTTTTAAAGATTGCTACTGTTTTATTTTTCATATTGATTTCGTTTATCAAACGTGATATACCGATCAATTTTCACTTCTGCTACGCAGCATAGAATAACTTTGGCTAAACAATATCAGTGAAAGTGCGCGAAATGCATCACTGCACTGCAGCATGTCAGCTGACAGTGAAAACACGAAGGAGCAGAACTTCTACGATAAAATAAAAGAACCTAAATCCGGTGTCACACTGCTTATACATCGTACAAAATACCCCGTGCAGACATGTTCCGAAACGAGTCACCGCGACATCCGTGCTTCGAATGTCATGTAACAAAGCTACCTCGTGAATTGGTTACCTCGTGGCATTCGAGGCACGGATGACGGGGTGACTCGTTTTGCAACATGTATGCGCAGGGTATTTTGTATGATGTAAAAGCAATGCGACCCCGCCTTATCGTTCATTCACACTGGAAGCGGATCCGCGTTCGCAAAGCGATTGCGAACGCGGTTGTATAAAGACCCAGTACAATTGCACGCGCACTTGATGTCATCGAGTGCGCGTGCAATTGTACTGGATCTTCATACAACCGCGTTCGCAACCGCTTTGCGAACGCGGATCCGCTTCCAGTGTGAATGAGCGGTTAAGGGGGACTATATACCCCTGCATTTTAAGCGGGCCACCGTGCCTTCAAATTTAAGGGGGAAAATATCTCAAAAATGTCCCTTTTACTAAGTGGGACTGACCTCGAATTTAAGGGAGACGCCTTATCGCTTACTTTAAGAGGGGTGGTGTCCCACTTAATTAAGAGGGAGCATCCCCATGTAATAATAAGAGGTCTGTCGCCCCCCTTAAAGTTAAGTGAGAAAAAATCGAAGAAATGTCCCTCTTACTAAGTGGGACCGGGCTTAGAGTGTACCTTTCTAGCAGACGTCCTTGTCAGCCTATGTTTCGAAAAAGAGGGCCTGCTAGGCGTTTATGCCAAACAATTGTTTCTTTAAAAAAAATCGCGAAAATTAACGAAACAGGCCACAAGATCTTTTTTCTCACTTCATGATGTCTTCCACAAAAGCATCCCTAAATTACTGCACCGCGGATCAGAAACCCTATCAAAGAATGGAAGCCACCCAGCTTAGCATCCTCCGATAGACGAGCTGGCTGGGCTAGCTTGTCTCGCTTAGTAACCGAGCAAACTGGGCAGCGCTGGCACCGTTTGATGCGGGCAAGAGCACGCGGTGAACGTCAACGTACACACGGGACTAGCCGGAATAGCCGTGCCACGAGCCCAGACTTGGACGTAGTTCAACTACTCTACTCAAACTACTGTAGTTTAACTACTTTTTCGAGTAACTTGGTAAATTTCAATTACAACTTCATTTGGGTAATTAGTAGTTTAATTTAACTACTTTTTAAGGTAACTTCTACTCAAATTACTAACTACTTTCGAAATTATATAGTGCTAATTTTGTCCATCACGAAAGTTTGAGCGCAGAAATGAATAAGACGCCGGCAGATGAAGTGGCATTCCCGAACAAGGGGCCTTCTTGTTCGGGAAGGCGTCCTTGGGCCAAGGTGGCGACGAGCAGCCAAAACAAAACACCGGCACGCACGAACCCAGGAAGAGACGCTTAACAAGCCTTGGTCGGGTTTTGACCTAATCCGGTAATGCACGCAGGCGCCGCGTTTCCAGCTGCAACCGTGAAAGACGGGGAAACTCCGAGAGTTGTTGTTGTTTTCGTGTTGTCTGTCTTTAGTGAGTTCTGACTCAAGCTGTAGATTGCACAGGAGGCACCACTGGAATGACCTCGCAGCTGGGCGCCTGTTCCCATGGTCGCGTTGCGTCAGCGCATACGCCTTTCCAAAGCCGGACTCCCCCGCGCACAGACCCTGGCACGGATAATCCGTTCATGGCAACACGTTGCCGCTTCCAGCTGCAACCGTACGAGCAACAATGCTTGTTCACGTAGTTCAACTACGCATCCTTGCGGCCTTTCACGCCAGGGAGACCTCCTCTTTGTTGAAAGTGATTTACTTGCCAGGCGTGTCAGGCGCGTCAGGATACTGTACTCGCCGGCGAGGATTGCGAGTCACCCTTGGGAGATCGTTTTGTTGGACCCGGCGTTAGCGGCGAAGTATACTTCAGTTCATCTTCGGTTAAACCAAAAATTTTTTTTTTTCAGTAGCGTAGCAGTAACACTACAACGGGACGCGCAGTCGTCCGGATGATCTCATCGTCGTGGCGCGAGACCTGAACCCTTCACGGTCTGGTGCACTCGCTCAGCGTACTCTCAGAACGACGTCGGAATAAAGAGGGGCCAGTCATAACAATCTCGACGAAGGAAAAGAAAAAAGGAGGAAAGTTTGTTATAAAAGGCCCTCTACCCGAGGCAAACCTCACATGTCTCGTCATGGACACCTAAGATGCCGACACTCGCTTACCCGACCCTGCACAGCCTGTTTCTCAAATTCAACGCTGCCGTTCCAACCAGCCCGTCGGTGGAACGTCTATTTAGCTTGGCTGGGGACGTCTTTAGAAGGAAAAGGGGAAAACTCTCCTATCAAGAACTTTGAAAGTCAATTGCTTCTGCGAGCTAATAAACTATTTTGGCGAAAACGCAAGACATAAATAGACTGAATTTATTTTAGGCTCGCAGGGTTTTTCATTGATCAAAACAGCTGTTCATTCTACTACCACTAAAATATAAAAAAGTAACTTCGAAAGTAACTTCAAAGTAACTCGCTACTTTTTTACAGTAGTTAGTAGTTTACTCAATTACTATTACAAATGCGTAATTTCTACTCTACTCCAATTACTTTTGGCGTCGATACTCAGTAACTTAACTTAACTACCTTTTTTGAGTAATTTGTACATGTCTACGAGCCATACCACTGTTCAACGGCCACGCGGATCGGTGTCGCCATCTAGGGGTCAAATTTTCAGCTTCTTCAGAATGCATCAGAATTAGTTGGGGGGCTAGTTTGTTGAACATCTAGACGGTGGTTTAAAAGCGCAAAGGACTAAGAAGAGAAGAAGGGGACAGGACAGAGCGCTTACTTACAACTGTCAAATTTAATAGAGCATCTAGAGAAAGACAAGGTGGAACTGAAAAAGAAGAAAAGAAAAATGAAATAAAATTAAAGTCACTGCTGCTATTAAGAACATATTTGGTTTTAGAAATCGAAACAAAAATATTTTGACTGCAGCTGAAGGCAAAGTACTTGTCACGTAAAAAAAAAACTGTCTATACAGCAAAATGAAAAAATAATAATAAAAAAATTGAATAGTAGGAAAAAAGAAAAAAAGAACAAATTAGGCAGAGCGACCGGCTAAAAAGTCTTGAGGCAAAACACCGCTAGAACTGAAGATCTTTTTGTGTTTCAAGTCTTTAGGGCATACACCGAAGGAACTGAAGTTCTTTCTGTGTTAGGGTCACTGATGGGGCGCTTATACACTTGTCGCCACTGGTGAGGATGACTTGAGCCTCGTACAGCTCTCTAATGTTTTTGTCATGGAACCGCTTCAGAACTTTGGTGTTGGTGAATGTTGGTGAGCATTTGCAGTCTCTGACATGCACCGCAAGATGTCCCGATGGTGCTGATTTCAACGTTTGGGCATGTTCTCTTAATCTCGTATTGATACATCGCCCCGACTGACCTACATACACTTTGCCGCAAGTAAATGGTATTTGATATATCACTCCACTTTGACATTCTACATACTTGAGTCGATGTTTTACACCGCA